TGACGCGCGACGAGTGCCCCATCTGCATGGAGGAGCTGGGAGACGGCGCGACGTCGTTGGAGTGCGGCCATGGGCTGCATGTGGACTGCTTGCGCCAGTACGCCGCATCGCGCTGGGCCGAGTGCGGACTCGGCGCGCGGCGGAGCTCGCGGAAGCGGAAGCTCCGCTGCCCGACGTGCCGCGCGGAGACGCGCGAGCGCGACTAGACGACGATGATGAGGGTGCACGCGTAAGAGTATCTGTAGAGAACCAGTAGCAGAGAGTGGCTCCCTCTGAGCCTCCCGTCCCCCCGCGGTTCCTCCCGCCCCCCCTACGTTTAGAGAAGCGCCAAGGCAGAGAGTGGCTACTTTGATTTGGCGAACGCGAATCTTTGCCACTGAGTCGAGAGTCGACCTTCGGCCTCGACCTGGCGGTGACGTGCGAGAGTTCACGACAACCCCTTGCCGGTGGAGACGATGGTCGCCCTCTGGCGCGAGGTCGAGACGGGCGCGCGGTACACGCAGACGACGGCGATGGACAAGTATCCAAAATTGAACACGAAGTCGTTCAAGGGCCTGTCGAGCGAGATCGCCAAGAAGCCGCAGACCGGCAATCAAGGCGCCCGCGATGTCAAGACCTACCTCGCCGCCGACGTCGACGCGCTCGTCGCGCGGCACGCCGCGCCGGAGCCCGAAACGGTCGACCCGCGCTGGCGCGAGGTCGAAGCGGGGACGCGGCATACCGAAAAGACGGCGATGGAGCGGTACCCGCACCTGACCTTTCGTTCTTTCCAGGACCTGCCGAGCAAGATCGCCACAAAGCCGAAGGGCTCCAGCGGAGGCGCTCGCGACGTCAAGACCTACCTCGCCGCCGACGTCGACGACCTCGTCGCGCGGCTTGCCGCGCGGGAGCCCGAACCGGTCGACCCGCGCTGGCGCGAGGTCGAGACGGGCGCGCGGTATACCGCGACGACGGCCATGAAGCGCTACCCGCAGCTCAACTGGCACTGCTTCGCGGACCTCCCCTTCGAGATCGCGCGGCAACCGAAGATCAGCAAATCCCAGCCGCGCGACGTCAAGACCTACCTCGCCGCCGACATCGACGCGCTCGTCGCGCGCCTCGCCGCGGCGGAGCCCGAACCGGTCCACCCGCTCTGGCTCGAGGTGGAAGCCGGCCGTCGCTACGACCGGAAGACGGCCATGAAGCGCTACCCGCAGCTGACGGATTATTTCTTCCGGGACCTCCCCTTCGAGATCGCGCGGCGGCCGACGATCGGCAAAGCCACCGCATGCGACATCAAGACCTACGCCGCCGCCGACGTCGAGGCGCTCGCCGCGGCGCGAGCCAACAAGCGCGCGCGCGTCCAGGAGCCCGAGCCGCCCCAGGAGCCCGAGCCCGAGGAGGAGGAGCCCGAGGAGTGCCCCGTCTGCCTCGACCCGATGACGGGCGCCACCGCGACGCTCGTCTGCGGCCACCTCTTCCACAAGGACTGCATCACGGACTGGGCGAGCAGCCAGACGCTGTGCCCCATGTGCCGCGAGACGCTCCAGTTCGCCCCGTGACTACAGACTCTTGCGCCCGGTCTTAGCGCGCCCTACATGGCGGCGGTCGCGCGGGCCGTCTGCGCGAGGCGGGCCTGGGCGAGGAGCGCGTCGATGCGGTCGCCCGGGGACGAGTGGCGCGACGACGGCGCCTTGTCCGGCGTCGGCGCGGCGCGCGGCGCGGACGACGGCCGCGCGCGGTAGGGGAGGCCGCCCGGCATGACGTGGGCGAGGGGCGTGGGCGACCGCGCGGCGTGGAGGTGGTGGAGCGCGGCCTTGTCGCTCTGGAGCTTGGCGACCTCCGCGCGGAGCGCGTCGACCGTGCGCGCGTCGACGGCGCGGTCGCGGGCCGCGGCGTCGAGCTCGCGCTCGAGGGAGCCGCCGACGGTCGCGCGCTTCTGGTTCTCGCGCTTGGCGTCGGTGAGCGCGCCCTCGAGGGACGTGATCGTGTCGAGCGCGGCCTGGAGCCGGTGCTCGAGGTCCTGGCGCGCGCGCGTCGACTCGTCGGCGCCGACGA